AGCCATTATGCAAAGAGCACATAGTACCCCCTGCTCCAATCTACCAGCCTCTCCACAATTTTGTGCGCAGTTTAGGCAAAAGGTTCCTCTTTAATTTCTTTAATATCTCACACTTTCATGGGAGAGACAGAACCAGTCTGTAAATTGTGTTGTTTTTGTTTGTGGTTTTTTTTTTTTTGAAATAAGTACATGGGAAAAAGTTTCTTTTTGAGAAATGAGGGAGGAGAGATTTTGAGGTAGCTACTGCTTTAGCCCAGACTTGGTCTGACCTCAGCGTTTTAAGAGCTATTAAAAAGCACCTGATTCCTCTCTCGTTTTTGAAACTGTCAGCTGGGCAGACAGGGCCTGTGGGAGCCAACAAACATTTTTAATTGCACAAAGTCATTGGAAAGCAAGGCAATCAATATTCGGTGCTCACTTTTGAATTTAAATGTCAAAGTTTGACATAGTTCCAACTCATAATATCCATATAAATCAGCAGAATGCTAAGACCGTTCATTGGCCTGCTGGCTTGGCTAGGATGCTAGGCACTGAAGAAGGCGCAAGCCTGCTGTGGAGCACGCTGCTCTAGATGTGTTCTTGTCTAAGTGGTAGTGAAGCTACTTTAGAAATCAATTCGGTGGCAGGTCTGCCAGGGGCCAGGTCCTGGCTCCCAGCCAAAATGTCTTTGGTTGCACTACCGCGCCATCTACTGGTCAGTATGGAAAATACATGCTCTGCTAATCTCTGGGCTCTTCCGGTTCCTGGGCTTGAGTTGCCTGGGGCTCCTAGTTAACCACATACATATTGATTTAAGGTGGCGAAGTGGATGACATCTCTCTCCTATTAGTGGTTGGATTGGTTGCACTCTGGTTCTGGGTCATGTGAACTGTTGGTTGCTGGGAGGTAATGTGGGAGAAGAGGATTGGGGTAGGGGATGCAGATTCTCCAGAGTCCTGGGAGGCCGGCCCTTTGTGGGGGCTGGAAATTCAGAACAGAAGGTAGATACCTCTGCTCACCACTCCCATTTGCCAACAGAAAAATGAGGTGGTGCTCAGCACCAAAGACTTCAACTCTGTAGCTCCCTTTGTGCCTACCCTTCTGCAGTGCTTCCCTAACATCTGGGATCAGAGATGTCCCATCAGGAAAAAAAAATCTGATTTTTGAAAGTCATTCTATCTACTTCATACAACACTGGACTCACTCTGAGGCCAAGGCATTATGCTGGCAAACTGTTCAACATCAACAACACAACGAGGTGAGTTGACCAATACTAACCAATGGTCACATTGGGTACGTTTCTTTTATTATTATTATTTTTAAGTCATTACTGTTGAGAGTATTACAGATGTCCCCCATTGCCATTTTATTGTTCATATTTTTTATCATTTTTTCCTTCTCTTTTCTAGAATGCCCTTCAACATTTCATGTAATACTGGTTTGGTGGTGATGAACTCCTTTAGCTTTTTCTTATCTAGTTTGCTTGCTTCAATTTCATTTAGATATTTTTCTGGAGATTTCTTGTTCTTTAACTTGTGACATGTTTCTTTGTCTCTGCATTTTGGCTGCTTCCCTGTTTGTTTCTATGTATTAGATAGAGTGGCTATGTCTCCTGGTAATTAGTAGAATGGTTTTGTGTAGTAGGTGACCTGTAGGGCCCAGTGGCTCAGCCTCCCCAGTCACCTGAGCTGGGCACTCTAGGTGTACCCCTGTGTGGGCTGTGTGCACAGTCTTGTAGTTGAGTCTTGATTACTGTTGGCACCACTGGGAGAAATTGACCCCTAGGCCAATTGGCTGTGAGGACCAGCTGCGACTACAGTGGAAGAGCACCTGTGCAGGAGACAGACACTCCTATAGAGCAGGACTTGCTTCAATGGGGCTTTGGTGCTCACTGAGTTTGCTCCTTCCCTTGAGTGTGTTGCCTGTTGATGTGTAGAGTTGTAATCTGGTGTGTTCTGAAGCTGGCCACTGGATGCACTGGCTCTGGGAACTCCTGGGAGGTGCGACATCAACCACTGCCTGGAGCCACCTGGCAGGAGCTACAGAGACGTCTGCAGATGGCTGCTGCTTGTATTGGGTTTGGAGTGCCCAGCTGAGGCACAGCTTTGAAGTAAGGCAGGCTGGTGCTAGTGCTGGGTCTTGGGTCTTTTATTGATAGGTATGGGGTATGCTGATACCAGCTACTGCTTTTTTGAGAGAGATTAGCAAAGTCTGTATCCTGAGCCATGATAGGCCATTCATATGGCAAACAGCTTGAGTGGGGCTGCAAATTGAATGGGGTAGGGTCTCAGGGAATCACTAGGGCAGAGTGAACTGTGTGAGCCAGGCTGATGGAGACTCAGATATGGCTGCCTGTCAGCTGTGCAAATGTGGAGGTCTCAGTGAAGGAAAAATGACCCCTGCAAACACCCCTGACTGGAAGAAAGCCACCCCCAAGTTCTTTCCCTGCCAGACAATCCATTTCCTCCCCGAATGTCCCTGGTTCCTTTCGAGCCGGCACCCCAGCACTGAAGCTCAGAGGGATTGAGTCCAAGTAAGTTCATGAGCTAGCCCTTTAAGAGGTAAGTTTCTTGGTCTGAAATGGGGGAAGGAGCAAGGCTATGCATGTGGCCAGTTATTCTTACTCTGTTGGCCCGACTTGATACAACATTGGTGTTTCTTTACCGGGGGGACCGTGTAAAATGGAGATGTTATATCCAGGGTTGGAGAACAGGGAAATTTACATGGGAAGGAAAAGCAAAACTTCAAATAATATGGGAATTGAAGAGTGGGCGGGGTTTCTATAGGTTGAGATGGTGGGTGGGGATAAACCCCAGAAGGATAGATGGAAAGTGGAGAAAAATTAAGACCTGGGAAGGTGGTGCCAACCCAGGGGAAGCTGGTAGTGACAGGTGAGGTGGAGGGGGAGCAGGTGGGTGGATGAAAGGCTAGAGCAAACATGTCAAACTTGCAGCCCGTGGGCCACAGGCCTTGTTTATTTGGCCTGTTAGCCTTTGAGTTTGACATGCTTAGGCTAGAGCTTCACAGAGGATGTTAAGCAACCATTGAAGATTTCTGAGAGGTGGAGATCTGAGCCACAGTAATGACAGGCTCACCTGGCAGTGAGTGTGGGATGTGTTGGAGGTGGGAGAGGCTAGAGATGGGAAAGGGGTCGAGGGGGCGATTGCAGCTTCCATAGCAGCTTCTATAAGTTCATACCCAATGAACCAGGCTCGTGGGCCACATCATGGTATTAATTGCCCCAAATATTTTATCAACTGAAGATCTTTGTTTTCTATTAAAATGAAATTTGAAAGTATCAAGCAGAACTGGACTAATTTGGGAAATGGAAGACCTTCTTATACCTGAGACCGTATCAGCTCTAAAGCAAGTCCTGAAAAGTAAGCATTAATTTTTAACTTCTTAAAAGGTATGTTTGGTGTGGAATGGGAGTGATAAGTATTCATTCCTTCTTTCCTAAAACACCCTGCAGGTGTCGGTGGCTATAGGTGATTTCTTTATAGGAAGCTGGGAAGAGCCTCAGATAGTCATTATCTGGTTTGGATAGGACAGGTTCTGTCTTGCATGCCAACACCAGGTCTGCAGTGTTGGCGGCAGCTGGCTGAGGCAGAAATGGGCATCGATGCTCTGGCTTAATGGCAAAGTGTATACGCATTAGCAACGTCTTCCCGGGGCACATTTTGTGAAAAGCAAGCACATATGCTGTGCATGTTCTATTTTAAATTCAAACCTCTCATTTTACAATTGAGGAAGCTGTTTTCAAGAGGTTATGTGACTTTTCTAAGCTCACACAGATAGTAAAAATTAGAGTTTTCCATGAAGTTAGGTTCAATTTCATGGTCATTGTTCTACTACTCCTAATCAAATGGGGTCCCCCTAACGGCCTTTCTTCCCTAATCTGGTATGTGTGTGAGAGAGGGGGGAGAGAGATTGTGCATGAGCATATGTGCTGAGAAAGTGGGGAGGGGCTGGCCTCTGCCTCTGCTAATCTCTTCCTCTTCTATTCTGTACGGAATGGGCAGGTGGGACACTTGCTCAGCCTCCTCCCAGATCCAATTGAGGCCATTGGCCAGCCAATCTCTAAGGGCCCTTTACAGATAGTTGGTACTCCATGGTTATCAAATTGAACTAAAATGTAATTTTCTCCAGGAGAGCAGCCTTCGGCCTAGACACATTTTACAGGAAAGGAACAGGAAGAGGGACAAGGACGTGCCTTTGGACAACACCATTGCCTGGGACTCTCGATGAAATGGTGGGGTTGTGGACTGGATTGTGTCTCCTCTAAATTCACATATTGAAGTCCTAATCTCCAAAGGTTAAATGAGGTCATCGACTGGTGAGAGAGAGGATGTGCATGAACAGAGAAAAGGCCGTGTGAGGACACAGCGAGAAGGTGGCCCATCTGCAAGCCAAGGAGAGAGGCCTCACGAGAAACCAGCCCTGCCCACAGGTCTTGCTTCCAGCCTCCAGAACGGTGAGAAAATACGTTTCTGTTGTTTAAGGCATCCAGCCTGCGATGTTCTCTCATGGCAGCTGTAACAATACAGATGGCTTCCTCAGTGATCCGAGGACTGAACTGGCAGCTCCCAAAGTCCTTTGCTTTTTCCCCCTTTACCACCAGAGATTTCTGATTTCTGGACAGGAATTGTTAGCAGCTCTTCCTGAGGGGGAAAGTCCTCAGGAAATCTGGAGAAGGAAGTGCATGGACTCTGTCCATCAGAAAACTCGAGGTTTTGGAGGGTGGTTAGGTCTCCAACACAGTCCATGGTCCCCAAAGAACCCAAACTGCCTTTGGTGGCGGTGGTGGGGGGTGCTCCTGTGCTGTCCATCACATCCTCCTGACAGCAATGAGACCCATCTGTGCTGTGATCCCTGACCTGAGAATGTTCTGTAACACACGGACTTTCGGTCATTTTTACTGCTACGGCTACTATTCATGTAAATTGAGACCAGGACTTAGTTTTACTAGAAGGAATGGGTGTACCTCAAGAACTTGGTCCAGTTCATTCCTCTGAAACAGGTAAAGTTTAAACACCTTTTATTTCAAGAAATAATGCTTCTAGACTTTCCTGAAGCCAGAATTGTTCTATAAAAGTATTACAGAATATTACACAAGATTTAAAAAAACAACACGGTATGCTTCTTAATAACTTGAAGCCTTTTTACAAAGCATATCATTCGTGACCATAAATATGTTTCCTCTGTCATTCAGCCGGTGGCACACACATCTGATAAAGAGCTAGTGAATTTTAACATATGTACAGAGTCTACAATAAGGACTTATCGAAGATTCAGCTATACCATTGTAAATTATCTTTAAAAGAGTTTACCTTAAACACATAAAGAAAACATAATTTACCTATGTGTTTGACTTATCTAAAAGGAAAATCACTGTTAAGCTATTACTGGGAAGTTGATTAGGATACTGATAACTTTCAATGAGGTAATCCTTTTGCTGGTCTTTAAAAAATCTAATACATAATAAGAATGTTTTCAAGAACACGTTTTGAACTATGCCTTTAAAAAATCAGAACTTGGTGAAGGTCTTAATCATACAATATATGTGTTTAAATTATGAAACATTCATGAGTATGTTTTATTGGAAAAATTCCGTATATAAATTCAAAACAAGATATATTTTCTCAACACTTAAGCTTATTAGCCAGGCCAAGAAAACAAAGATGGAGGGGAATCTTTAGTCCTTTTATCCTGTTAAGAAAATGAAAATTTAGCTATCTCAAGTATATGATGAACACTTTGAGGCTAGGCACAGAGAGAGCAAGTGATCTTTGTTTTGCTTATTTATTTTTGCCGCTAACATTAGCCATGCCTTTCTGCTAATCAGTTTTAGCAAGTCAAGGGAAACCACATGCAATATTTTCTGGCAAAAGCGTATGTTAAACAATATGGGATCCATACTGTGTGTCATCCTTGGGGATCTATTTTAATTTGTCACACTGAGAGCAAGCAGTGAGAATGTGACAAGCCTGTAAAAAAAAAAAAAAAAAAAAGACTAGCCAAACAGACATGGCTTTTAGATCTCAAAGTGCAAAATCATTGACCTAAAAGTGATGGCATTGAAAAATTCCAGTGGTTAAAAATGAGTCCAAACCACATGATGCAGGCAGTGGGAAGTGTGTTGAAAGTTTCACCGAGGACATCCAGTTTCAGAAATGCAGGAAGGCACAATTCTAGCCATCGTGGTGGATAGCATTTGTATACGCAGGTCTCTACAACTTTCCGAAGTTAACACTGCTTTAGTATCCACTAAACCAACAAAAATCCACAAATTACCTTTCTTTCTCACCTTGACACACAGTGAATTACAGCACCGGTTCCTTGTGCGTCCGCTCGCATGCGCACTGACGTCTGCTGCAGGCAGGTACCTAGGGTAGCTTGGAATGTTGGTTGTCTTGATTGCCTTTATTAGTTTACTGATAAAAAGTTAATACTGTGTTTAGGGTAAGGTAACAATTTTGTCTAATCAGTCTCCCTTCTGTGACTTTTCTCCACCTCGTTCGACATGCTCTCCATGCCGCTGGTGTTACTAGGCTGCTCCGAGGTGGACACTTGGATCGTCTGAGGAGTGGAATCTGGGTCAGAATGCCCAGGAAGATACAGCTGATCTTCGGAGACATCTTCTCCCAGACCGCCATCCTGGGGAAGGCCTTTCTGGCGCCTGCTGATGGGCTGCAGCCTGGGGTCGAGTTTGAACACCAGCTCTGGCATGTCACCACCACTGAGGTCAAGTTCAGGATGACTCACCTCTTCATGCTCCGTCCATTGGTCAGTTTTATGATTTCTCCAGTGTTCAGAATTCAAACGACTAACTTCTGGAATGTCGTTATTCCATTCAAGTTTACTCTCCGGACTGAATGTTGGTCGGTTCAAATGCAGGGTTTGAAGGTCGGCTGGCAATGTCAAATGAGGGGCTTCCTCAACCGTAGGGCTTGGGTCTTCATCCGACTCAGCAGAGGCCATCTCTACCGGCACAGAGGGCTCAGCAGGTCCAGCCAGGAACCCATCACTTCGAGCAGTTGTCTTATTTGTTTTCTTTTGCTCGTGGTGACTGTTCAGCAGTGCAAATACTCTATCTACATCCTCCAAGTAAGTAGTCCAGTCAACCAGACTAAGTCTGTAGTTCTGTCTGTGCTCATAGATGCTTTCCTTTATGCTGTATAAACCCTCCAGGCCTTGCCCGCCGCTGTCTGCAGTGGGACTGGGAAGGCTAACCTTCCCATCCGTCCCATAACTGTCCTCTGTGAAGAGAGAGGAAGATGGGTCATTAGTGGAGAAAAGATTTCCTACTTTCAGACAAGCAGCTGGCATTTTTACAGAGCAAATCAATTTGAAGTATAACTATATAAAGTATCGCACCCTAGTAATTTATTATCAAGGTGTGGCCTTAGGGTACAAAAGTGATTGAATAACACAAAGTTGGGAAGAAGATCAAATAAGTGATAACGGCTACGACAAGGCGAAGTTAGAGGCTCATGTTTTACCCCTGGCTCTACTCAAGCCAACTCTGTAACCATGAAATTGTGTAAGTCTGAGTTCTGGTTCCCTCATCTGTCAAACATGGGAATGCTTGTGTGATAAAACCCTTACTTCTTCTGGGGTTGCTGGGTAAATGATGGACTTGAAAGTATTAGGCAGAGCTTAGGAAGATATTTTTATTTTATATCACCTGGTACTTTGTTTAAAAACAAAATTGAATGCAACTAAACTCTTCATATCAAATACTTAAATCTATTTCTTTGTGTGTTTTTTTTCCCTAAAAATCCTATGATAAATCGGTCTTTCAGTGGTTTTCATAGTATGCAGAGAATGCACCCCCTTCTCTCTCTCAGATCTTTCTACATCACTGAGATGACCACAGTCCTGCAGAAAACACCATCTTTTCCCTATTGTACCCAAGTACTGTTCTAAAGAGGTGGCCTAGATTAATGCAGTAACTAGCAATACAGATCGGCAGGAAAAAAGAACTAAAACTAAACAAAACCCCAAATCTCAGTTTAACTAGAAGATAGAAAATGTAGATAACCTTCACATCACCTGTAAGTAAAAAAAAAAGTTAATACCAAATCTCAGCAGAGCTGGATGACACATTTTGGGCACAAGCCCTAGAAAACAGTATGGACGAGAGCAGGAGGAGGTGAGGATGGAGCCAAGAATTGATTTGAAACCATCGCTGGAAAGAATGTCACCTGAAGTATAAAATACAGTAGAGTCCTGGTACATCACAGAGGTGACCCCAAGGAAGGGACTTAAGTGTGCATGCATCAAGGTGGCTGTGTGAAAGGCCTGGCTTTTGGAAGAAAAGGATACAGAGGAAGGGAGATACACCCTTTGGAAACCAGATCATAAAGGAAAATAGAAACAAAAGAAGGGACATTTCAGGTCCTGCAAGAAAAATAGGAATAAAAAATTGGAGTACATGCGATCTTTCCCATTCCCACCCCCCAAATAATACATGAAAAAGTATATGTGGCTACACTGCCGGAAAAAGATCCTCTTAAATTAGAAATTGTGAATACTTCAAATTTGTGAAATTAGTAAAAGCAGCCTACATTTACACAAAATTATTATAACAGAAAATAAGGAATCCATCCTTTTATGAAAATGCCCCTGCCAAAGTAAGTTATAAAGTGAAAAAAGATACAACACAACACTGCCAAGTAAGTGCAATCAAGCATCTGAGGATGTGAAAGCCACCTTCAATCAGAAATTAGAGTATGAGCCAAGGCTGCTATGTCCAGACGAGCTCTCCCGCAAGTATCAGGCTCTAGAAAAATAGTTCCAAAAAATTGTAAGCATGCTCGGTATACTGTGATGTCAGCTCTTCTCACGAGTTTTTTGAGATACCAGCTGTCTCTCGGCTGATTTTTTGCATTGATAGAGTAATCTGAGTTAATGAGCTCCTTAACAAGCTCGGTCTCGGAACGAATTAAACTCGTAGGTCAAGGCCCCACTGTAGTCTTCTAGCAGATGAGTTTCATTCAACCAAAAAAATCACTGGGGAAACCTCAGCCAAAGGATTGGTGGTGAGCATTTAATATAAGGGGCAGGCAAAAGTAGGTTTAGAGTTGTTCGTATGGAAAATAATATAAGAATAAACTCTGCAGACTGGTGCAGCCTCTGTGGAAAATAGTATGGAATTTCCCCCCAAAATAAAGAAGTGGAACTCCCATTTGACCCAATGATCCCACTTCTAGGAATATATCCTAAGACATTAGAAAGGATACTACGTTCATAGTAGTACAATTTACAATTTGGAAACAGCTTAAGTGCCCATCAGCAGGTGAGTGGGTTAAAAAACTGTGGTACATCTATACAACTGAACACTACACAGCTGTAAGAAAGAAATCTTACCATTTGCAACAGCATGGATGGGCCTGGAGAGCATTATGCTAAGCAAAATAAGCCAGTCAGAGAAAGACAAATATCACATGATCTTATTCATATGTGGAATCTAACAAACAACATAAACGGATGAACAAAAAATAGAACTAGAGACATAGAAGCACCAAACCGACTGTCAGAGGGAAGGCAGGGCAAGATGGGAAGAGATCAACCAATTAACTTCTATGCATATATGCATAACCCATGGACACAGACAATAGGTTGCTGGGGGGCAGGGGTGGGCTAATGGGGGAAAAGGGGGATATATGTAATAGTTTCAACAATAAAGATTTAAAATAAAACCAAAACTGTGCTTTGAGTACTCACGACTGCAAAGCTACTTTTGCCCCATCCTGTGTCAGGTCTGGGGGTAAAGCAAAGGTAGGAGTGAGGTAAAAAATATTTTATATGACAAAGTGCAACTAGAAATGAGAAGAAAAACAGAAAAGTGGAAAGAGACTGAGCTAATTCAGAGTATAGTTCAATAATAGTTGGGAATCAAAGAACGCTGTTAAAAACTAACCAAAGATAGAAAACTTGGATGCTAGTCAGCAAATTTAGGGTGTAGCTTCTTAATTCATTTCAAGTTTTGGGATTATAAAATAAATGGTTTATATTAAGCCCGGCTGGTGTGACTCAGTGGTTGAGCATCGACCCATGAACCAAGAGGTCCCTGGTTCAATTTCCAGTCAGGGCACATACCCAGGTTGCCAGCTCAAATCCCAGTAAGGGGCATGCTGGAAGCAGCAAGTAGATATCTCTCATCAATGTTTCTCTCTATCCATCTCCCTTCCTCTCTAAAATCAATAATAACAACAACAAAAGGTTTATATAGAAAAAAACTGACCGAAGAGATAATAAAAGATTAAATATGAAACAGGGACTAGGGACATGGAATAGGTATAAGTTCAAATGCAACCGACAGGACCAAAATACTAACTCTATTAAGTTCATAAGGGGGAAAAAAGGGCAACCAGCTTTATAAAGAAGCAGCTATCTATTGAAGACACAATGAGAAATACATAGAGACATAATAATAGGAAATAATCCAAGAGAGGTCAAGTGGACTAAAAATTAAGAAAATACAAATAATAATTAGAGGTTTTAAATGATGAAGGAAAGCCCTATTTACAGTAGCAACAAAGAAGGTAAAGTACTTATGAATAAACTTAACAAGAACCATGCAACACGGGTAAGAAAACACTTCAGAAACCTCCCAAAGACCCTGAAGTACCCGACCAAGTAGAAAGAGACCCTCTGTTCTTGAATGAAGACTCAGTATCTTATGAATGTTATCTTAGAGCTTGGATGGGGAGCTTAGATGGACCCTGATCCTGAGCAGGGTAGCCATGTGGTATGAAGCAAGACTTACCCACCAGTTGGCGTGGCTTGTCTAGCAGAGCTCCTGCTGCATTTCCGTGCCTGGTTGTCCCTCCAGGCGCACTTCTGTGCAGGGTGCAAAGTGCACACGGTGGCCCCAACCCACATCCTAACAGCTCGGACCCTGAGTACCCTCATCGCCTTGGGAGGCTGACCTCACTTCCAGCCCCTATAACTCCAGACCTTGACCCGTCTCTTGGTCAAGCACCTTAAAGAGAAAAGCCCAGCAGCTTAAAATCAATGGAGCCCTGAGGTGTGAGGGAGAGGAGACGCCGGGGAAGCTTCACCAGGGCAATGTGGGGCAGGGCAGTGACCTGAGCGTTTCCGGTGGTGCAGACAATGGGTTTGTGTGTGGAAACCTGGTTGCCAAGGAGTGATGGAGAAGATGGTGGTGGTGATGCATAATTTCTCTGTGTTTCTTATAAAATATGGCAGCATGCTCTGGAATGAGAAGGGCACTATTCCCCTTCATACACTCTCCTTCATGTAAGTGTTGTACATCCCAGAGCATACCTTACTAATAATGCCCATCGTTGATAGGGTTTGAGACATGCCAGACTCTGGTCTCAGCTTCTTACTCGCAAGGCTGGGGTTTGAGCCCAGGCTGGCTCCAGTGAATGTGCTCTAACCACACTGTGAAACAGCTTCTAACACACAGCTATGCCACCCACATCCATCTGCCAGGCCTGGGCTGTTGCTATAGGGCAGTGATGGCAAACCTATGACACGTGTGTCAGAGGTGACACACGAACTCATTTTTTTGGTTGATTTTTCTTTGTTAAATATACATCTTTGTTTTACTGTGGTTGCAAATATCAAATTTCTATATGTGACACGGCACCAGAGTTAAGTTAGGGTTTTTCAAAATGCTGGCACGCCGAGCTCAAAAGGTTCGCCATCACTGTTCTAGGGGAAGATGAATCAAAGAACCAAACCCAAGTGGACAGGAGCATGGTTGTCGAGGGGGAAGCATGATGTGGTCCGCTGGCCTGCACAGAGGACCAGGGAGCAGACCTGTCTGCCCCACAACCACACGCCGGATCCACACCACGGCCGCCAGGAGCTCGTATTGGACACCAGAGGGTAGCAGCAGCAGCTCTCACAGGTGATGGGAAAAAATAAACACCTGGCCCCTGTCGATCTTATACTATTTTGCAACACAGAAATTACTGCTTTCAACTCAAGCCACAAATTATTTCCTGAGTTTTGGGGGCCACTTGCTGAGCTGTGTCCTTACTCTGAGCTTGTCATAATGGCAAAATGACCAGAGTGAGTAAGTAAAAGCCTTTCAGCTACCCCTGGCCCTCACACACACAGACCACAGCAAAAAAACACATCAACAAGTAATGAAGCTGAATAGGAAACAGACGTGCTTTTCGAAGACCTTTTAAATAAGTCTAAGGATTCGTTTTTGAAAATCCACACAACTGAAGGTAGTTTGAAAACTCTTATTTAGTCCATCTTGTACAAAAGAAAT